GCATCTCCTGACTGTGAAAGATTGTATTAGAAAGGGTTTTGAATAAAGCTGTAGTGTGATACACTTACTTTTTTTTCCTTGCTGCTACATAAAACTCTTACATTATTTCGTTTGCAGTTTTCACTGTTTGCTTTCTTTTAGTTTTCCTTTCCTGAAAGTTCTGACTTGGTTTACCAAGCCCTTCATCTCGGTAAAGTCAAACTAATCAACGTTAGCAGATGAATGATACATTTCCAAGAAATCCTGAGTATCCTTTCTATTCCCCTGACAACACCTTCCACAGCTACAGCTGAAAAGCCTCCCTCAACATTCTCAAGGTTTCTCTTCCTGAGAATTATGCAAAGTTTTACCTACACAATTACTATTAAGCTCACACTATGTACTAAGTTACAATACCAGAACTTATCAACGTTAGCAGATGAATGATACATTTCCAAGAAATCCTGAGTATCCTTTCTATTCCCCTGACAACACCTTCCACAGCTACAGCTGAAAAGCCTCCCTCAACATTCTCAAGGTTTCTCTTCCTGAGAATTATGCAAAGTTTTACCTACACAATTACTATTAAGCTCACACTATGTACTAAGTTACAATACCAGAGAATGTGCCTGGGCCAGAGCTGTGACGATGAGAACCAGAACCTTCAGACACCTGGGAAATTTGATCACCCAATTCTAAATGTATTTATGGAAAGGAAAGGTTTATTGGCTATTTCAATTTACTTGAGTAATATAGCAATTCAAAGTTAGTTAGGTTTGTTTTTTTTTTTTTTTTAAGAGGTTTTCCCAATACTAAGCAAGTAATTTTAAAATACAGGGAAGATTTACTGAAAATGAAATGTTTTCAAAAGAAACCATGGTAAAATTGTCACTCATCATTTGTAGGAAATAATGTGTCTATATTCTAAACCATAAACACAATCATGAATAGGTACACGCATAGACGGTAGCTGGCATTGGATTATATTATTAATTACATCCTCACCAGTGCTAAACTGTATCTTAACATTTGTGAATATTTAAAATAAATCTTCATAAAAACTCCATGGTTAGTGTTGGACCGCAGATTGTTCAGTGTTAAATCCCAAATGGCACCGCAGTTTCTATTTCATCAGCTCATACAAAGCCTTACGCGGTTGCTTTAGCCCTCCAGAGGACAAAACCCCTCACATCTTGCTGGGAATCGCAAAGGTTTAAGAGTCTGTACATCTCTCACTGAACTCCCGTCCAAAATGAAACATACCAGTCCCGAATCCTAACCAGAAATCGAATAAAGAATATTTAATACTACAGTAAAATCTTAAATATAGGTAGGTCATGCTTAGAACTGCACCTAGTTAATCCACGGCGAGTGAGCTCAGTTGTAACTCTGGTTTCAAAAGCTAAATGACCTGCTGATGTGGGTACGAGACAACTCTGTCCAGCCACGGCAGTGCAGGGAGCTCGGCTCTTCAGGTCTCCTACATTTCTATATGCAAGTAAAGTAACGTATTTGCAAAAATACTTACAAGTTCTCCCTTTCACCAGGAAAAATGCCAACCAATGTTTGCTTCCTTAAAAAAAAAAAAAAAAATCTCCTTCCAAGAAACAGCAGATGAAGAACTAAGCAAGCAATCAGGCATCAATATTTATTAACACAAGACAAAGGAAACACAATCAATGCGTTAATGGAACACTGTCCAGCCAGATGTTAAATTTAAAAATGTATATCTAATCTAATTTTAAATAAATAAAAACTTTATACATAATTACATAATGCTGTAGTCTGAATTTGACAACGGTAAATAGGTTGACAGAAATTAAAGAAAAATTGCATTTAGGGCTAAAACTTATCTCGTTTTTACAACCTTATTTTTAGGACAGTTAGTATGACACATCTTAATTACATTTATTTAAATCAGAAATGCAGTGCAAATTTTAACAAAACAGGACATGAAATTACCTGTACGCACATATTTTGCTTAGGGAATATTCATAAACAGCAAGACATACAAAATATTTTAGTTCAAAGTGTTAAGAATTCCTCGTTTTTAAGTTTCACTGCAGCTGTTAGCTTGGAATCTGATGGACAACAGTAAGAAGTAATTTGCCTTCTGCAACTGGATAAGCTGCAAAGTCAAACTGGCATGGAGAGTCTGCTTCTTGGGACTCGGCACTTGGTTCAGCAAAAAAAAGAACCTGAACATGCAACATCGGTGGCCCTGCCAATTTTCTGAAGTATCTCAGTTTGTCCTCGTATGGAATGACACCATGCAACCGTTTTAAAGCAAAACGGTCACATCTTTTGACAGCCCTCCCAAGACAACCAAATAATCATTTATCAGTTTGGAAGAACAAACTGACGCCAACCTCAAAGAGGCTAGCAATGAAAAATACTTAGCACTTAGTGCTGTACAGTTAGTTACCTCACAGGGATGTTGTAAGGATTAGATAGTATCCTCATCTACGGATGAAGAAACTGAAGGAGTGAAATGACCCGTTGAAGGTCTTGTGGCAAGTCATTAGCAGAGCTGGAGTTAGAAATCAGGTTTCCAGATTCACAGCTCCATACTTCCTCCTCTCCAGCACACTGCTTTTCACTGTGCCAAACATGGACAAAAGCATTCAATAGAGTCAAAACTGGCCAGCTGCTATATGTCACTTACTGGCGATCAAGAATGGAATGTCACCTCATTCTATAGGCAGGACTGTAAACTTACAGTTCTCTCACACAGAGAAATGTAACATGCCAGAATAAAGATTAAGAGTACACAGTAAACTTGCAAAATAAAACCCCAAACCGTAAGCAGCTATCAATACCTATCCAAATAAAAAACAAGGAAAAAAAATCAAAAGAATCCAGTATGTCATTCAAAAATGCCATTTCAGAAAGTCAATCTGCCACATACTGGGAATCTTTGGTCAAAGTAATACATGCATTTTTTATTTCTGAAAAATTGCGAGTAAAAATAAAAGACAATCCTAGAATTGTACTTAAAATCCACTTCAATGGACAAATAAAGTATTTGTTGAAACAATTTATCTAAAGCTTTAATTTGAGTAAGAAAAAGGTCAAGACCATCAGAATTTTTTTCTGAAATGGGCAACAACGAAGTAAAGCTGTATGCAAGTCACTTTGCTGTGCAAGGAAACATAAAAAATAAAGTGATGCATAACATGTAATAACGAGACTTTGCTGGCTGAAAAAGGAAAACAACTTTTGTGCACATTACATCCTAAATAAGTTGCAGTACCAACTGTATTAGTCACAGTTACACCTGTCACTTTCCTCACTTTGTGGCCAATTTGTTGAAACTAAATATATTAAAGCCTTCATGCACAGGTATTTTAGGACGCACATCTTAAGAAACCAAACAGTATCCCTACTGCTAACAGAACAACCTTTCACACCCAGGTAGCAGCACAATACCGTGAAAATTGCATCTGCGGTGTTGTCTTACTACTGCGGTAGATACAGAAAAAGAAATTTTTCAAATACATGCACCTGTAAACTGAAGCGTTTGCAAAGAACTCTTATGTCTAGACTTGCCATAATAACTTCCAGTTTCTAAATCTATTCCCCTACCAAATATTTTTCAAAAATATCATTCGGAACTTCTTATCTGAATTTTAATACTCTTGTCTTCAGTGAAGAACTAACAATGCATCAGGAGTTTTTCAAGGACAAAACTGGGGTTTGCTTACAGATACCCTGGGTTCTGCTCTGATAACTGCCACAGGATCTTCAGAGTTCATACTACAAACCTTTTAAAAACTGCCTAAAAACTCTGAATGAGGTAATCTGGAACATTTTAATAACAAGTTTATTTACACTGTATACCACATTTGACTCAAAAAAACCTGTTGCAGTATCTGGTATCAGCTCTCATTGCTTCCAAAATCATATTCTCTTAACACCCATAGGAATTTAATTGTTCTTAAAAGATTATTAAGTATTAGATGAAAGAAAGGTAATTTTGAGTCAAAGCTTAAACACCGTCTCTCCCTCAGCCCGGGGTGCAATTGCTTCCTAACAGCAAGAGCTTATACCCGCTACTCTAAGGCTTCTGTTTCTTTACATTTACTAATGTGAAAAGCGACACAGTATTTTGAAAGCTGGGATATTAATTTTCACGAAGTTATTTAACAATGTGTTTACCAGAATTGCTCTGTCTCATTTTAGTCCCTCCTCCTGTAAAAGAAAAATTGCATTCAACTTAAACCCCAGAATTATCTAATTTCTTTCTAGTGAATGCTTTGAGGAAGACTGGGTTGTTGCCTCCCAGTTTACATTAAAGCCTATTTACAATATTTCTTGCTCTACCTAGAAGGAACTGAATGGAATAATGACTGAATCGCACAAACAGTGAATTTAACTGTGTGTTAATCTAAAGGATTTTTTTTTTTTCCTTTAAACACAAGGTGTCACAGAGGGTGGAGGCAGAGGCTGTCACTCAGGTGCATCGTTTCAGTTAAGCATTTTGGACTTGCACTGCAATTTCTACCAAATTCCATGTTACTGTTTAAATTCAGCCTCTTTTAGAAAGATGTGCCTTAAAAATCACAGGTTTCTACATGCTATGACACACTTCTGGCCAGCAATAAAAGACTACATACCGAAATAAGAAAACTTGTGAAAGATGTGTGTGTCTCACATTAGTTGTCTAACCAAATGTAATTATGCTAAGGACCACAAAAGTTACTTGTCCTTAAAAATTTCTACCTTCAGCTGTCATCATTATCCAAGTTAATTTTCTATCTAAGTGAATTATGTATAATAATATTTACATATTTAAAATATAGGCAAAATTCTTTTTAAATTCAAGAAATATCTATATGAATAAGTAACTCTTAGATTCCGTAAGTTATTGATTTGGTCATGGCACAATTTTAAATAAGTTGTGTGATCCCATGGAATGAATAGCTACAGTACAGATGCAAAGTACATTATATAGTAGGGAACTGCAGAACTCTGATGACCCTTTTCTTAATAGTTTATTATCTTAACTAAATAAACCCTCCCCTTATAGAATCCCAAAACAGTATTAGATAAAAATACAAATATGTACAACAGATGAAAAAAGTAACACTACTGTAAAGGCCTTAGGAATTTTGTAGCTCACACACTTGTCAACTTTGCATTTTCTATAAAGCTAATATTTCAGTAAACTGTTACAAATGTTTTCCATTGTCTACCACATTTCCTTTTGTCTGTTGGTAGTTAACGCGATCTTAATACCGCAGGATGAGATGAAGGGAATATGGCAGCAATCTCAAACTTTATATCAAGTATTAGTAATTTTCACCAGCTTCATTTCTATAGCCACTCTTTGTCATTTAGTGGTCCCGCAAAGTTTCTCAACATCACTTCCCCCATATACGTTACATGTTATAGGCTACATATATGGGGTCTAACTGATCAGCTAGAAAACTGTCGCGGAGATGCATTCGTTGTTTCTCTCCTCTGGAATTGATAGGAATAACTCCAGGATCCACTACCACCACCACTCCCACGATCAGGTAATGTTCTTCCAGGACCACATTTGTAACTAGAGGAACTAAATCCAGGGCTTCCTGTTCACAGCCACACAGCTCCACAACAACCACAAGCAAGTTGGTCCATGTGAATACAGCACTAAAAGTTACAAAGGAAAAAAAAAAAAACAAACAGAAACCCCAGTTATTTTCGCAAACACAAAGATCCAAAGTTTACAATTCTTTATCCTTAGATGGAGTTCACCACCTGCTTTGGGCTGCATTTCCAAGCGACCTAGCTCCAAGACCTAATCCCGACGTGTCAAAGATCAGTTCAAACATATCTCAGTACCACCTAGGGAGACATACGAACTAAATGCTGCTTTCACTGACTCGAATATAAATGGCTCTGTACACCACAGAGCAGGAAATCATCATTTCTATTTTGAATTAAGGCTTGTGAGAAAACATTGAGTCAGCCCAGTATTATTCTGATCTACAGATGGGAAATGAGGTGCATGACTTGCTGATGGTAACACAAAAAAGTATCTGAATTTGCCTTATGTATTTTTTTCTATTAAATCCTGCATCTTTGCATAAACATTGCTACATTTCAGTTAGGTTAGGAAGAAATCATTTTTCACGGCTGTTTTACCATTCAGCAATGCTTCTGTGCGTTCGAGATACAGAAGTCTCAATATCAATCGGATGGTAACGCAGTCCCCTCAGTTCCAAAGTTTCATCCAGTGCTCCAACAACATACAGTGCATCATGGCGCTCTAGAGAGGAGAAATGGGAAACGAAGTGTATGCATATATGAAAACAGAAAATGGCAGACAATAAACGGAATTTAGATAAAACAAAGTGTCTCTTGTATCCAGACATGCAGATCAGGACTTATTTGCTGCATAGTATGAAAGAAAACTCTTCATCTTCATTTAAAAGATAAAGATTAATTTCTGCTGTACCTCCACTGGCAGCTGTGAGCTCTGTTCGACGAACAAAACCAAGGTACCCAGTCCGAGCCCAAAGCGTCTGAGCAGCATCACCAAAGCTCAGACGAGTGTTGAAATGATCAGCTTGAAGGGTTTCATTGTCATAGATAGTATAGTAGCCGCTGGCCGTATGTGGACTATTTACCCAAATCTGTACAGGAAGTGGAAAAACAGTCAAATCCACACACTACAAAAACAGAGCATCTGTTGAGTATTAAATGAAGCAAATAACAAACTGTAACAAGAAGGTTCTCTTTTTATCTAAGGTTTTCCAGATCCAAAAATGTTTTGCATTTAACTCAAACCTCCAAATATCCTGGAGAATCTTAAAAATCCGTCTTGCAGATCTACTCTCCTAATAACTGTAAACTGAGGATTAACTCAGTAAATAAACTGTGGATTTTTATAACATGTGAAGTCCAAAAATTGACAATAATTGACACAGATCAAATATACTGGTGTGTAGTGTGTAATCAAGATAAGGAAAGCAAAATGTAAATTGGATTATTTGGAAGCCAATTATGCAAGTGGAATAAGCCTTCCTTTCTAGTAGGCTTTCTTTTTCTTTAAACTTGACAGTAAAGTAATACACCCAATTCTGAACACTCCAGCAATAATTCAGTTTAAAAAGGCCTCTGAGTATTACCACTCACAAACTGTCCTCCAGCAACTTACATAACAGAACAGAGAGAATATAGCTCAAGAAGCAGACAACAGGAAAAGCCACCCAAATAGTGAAATCTGTGCTTACCTCCCCAAGATGAGAATCTCCAAGAGGCCCTTTTGTCTCAGGATTAACAATGACTACTTTGACTCCAGGTAAAATCTAAAGATCACAAGAAGGAATATGTAATCCGTATATGAATTATCTTCAAGCACAACTAAAAGGCAAAGGCTGTTCATTTACCTCTGGAAAGGCATGATTTCACCCACAGAAATTACAAACAGGTATAAAACATGCTAGGACATGTACACTGAAGTACGCTAACAGCATGATTGTATTTCATGACTCAAGAGCCACACAGGTAAGGGATTCTAGGCCTGTAAATGTTGCTAGACCTTGATTTTGAAGAATTCAATGTTAAAAACTACTGGGAAACATCTTTTTGTTAATCCATTTAAAGAAGGGAATGAGAACTACAGTAAATCTCAAATGCATGCTGATTTCACAGATACAACAGCAGACACTTTTGATATGGTTCATTTACTGTAAACAGAACCAATTCTCCCAATTGTTTCAGCAAAGCATGCTCTTAAATCCACAGATACTTTATTATAAATCAAACTAACTTTTCAGATGAACAGCGTAACCAACTATCTACCTGGACTCGTGCAAAGCACTTTACACTGTCCTGCACAACATCCTTGTCTCTAAATTGGAGACACATGCATTTGACCGATGGACCACTCAGTGGATAAGGAATGGGCTGGATGCTCAAAGAGTTGCGGTCAATGGCTCGATGTCCAAGTGGAGACCAGCGACGAGTGGCGCTCCTCAACGGTCGGTATTGGGACCGGCGCTGTTTAACACCTTTGTCAGTGACACAGACAGCGGGACTGAGTGCACTCTCAGCAAGTTTGCCAATGACACCAAGCTGTGTGGTGCGGTCGACACGCTGGAGGGAAGGGATGCCATCCAGAGGGCCCTTGCCAGGCTCGAGAGGTGGGCCCCTGCAAACCTCATGAAGTTCAACAAGGCCAAGTGCAAGGTCTTGCATATGGGTCAGGGCAATCCCAAGCACAAATACAGGCTGGGCGGAGAATGGACTGAGAGCAGCCCTGAGGAGAAGGACTTGGGGGTGTTGGTTGATGAGAAGCTCAACATAACCCCTCCAGCTCTGGGGCCCCCAACATAAGAAGGACATGGACCTGTTGGAGCGAGTCCAGAGGAGGGCCACAAAGATGATCAGAGGGCTGGAGCACCTCCCCCGAGAAGACAGTCTGAGGGAGTTGGGGTTGTTCAGCCTG